TTCTTCCTCCCCTCCTTAATAAGGTGTATGTTAGTGATAAAGCTCTTTTTCATGTGTGTCTGAATATGAACTAGACTCGGTACTTGGTGGGGGTTGCCTCTAAAGATACTGAAACAAATTGTTCACAGATTGTAGGATGCTGAGTGTAGTATTAAATCAGATTTTGCATGGAAAGCCATACTTCAACATACTGGAAAAAGATGATTCAGAACTGAGTATAAGTATTCTTGTTGATCATCATCTCTTTTGAATTAATGTTGTTACTTAGCAGACTGCTCATCTTTGAATGCCTGTTTAGGATTGAACTGAAACTGTGGGTTTTAAACCTACATTACATTCAGAAAATTATCCGAGTTGCTTGTGACTTGCAGATACGTACTGTGAAGGCATATTCAGCACATGAAGCTGTAGTATCTAAGCAGACCTACAAAACTGGTATATATTTGGCAAGTGGGAATTTGGAAGTTCCATTTGGAAGTGGTTGAGTTCCAGTGAAATCACATATCTTTGCAGCTTGCCAGTATTTTGAACGTATTTTTGATAACTAAAGCGGTCACTTTTTCATGCCTTTTTGTTGTCCTCATTGCCAAACACCTCCAAAATAGTTTTCATCATGCTATGTCTATTGATTATCAGAGATTCGATGCAAAATATTAATCTTGAGATGTTATCAGGAGCAGACTGATATTTTTCAGCCTGCTCTCCCATTAATATAAAAAGAAAATTACTTAAAACTAATTGTTGTTGTTGTGTTGAATAACGTTAATAAAGCATCAACCTTATTATTAAAGTTTTAAGAAAATCCTATAACCTGCAGCTGTGACTTTTCAAAACGTTTAATGTCTTTTGTGTCATGGGAGTGTGGATTTTCCAGGAAAATCATACTAGTTCATTATGGCAGAGATCTCTGTATTAAAAATAATAGGGTTCCTTGATATCAGAAAAATGTGCTAAACTGCCTTCCTAGAAAGAATAAAATTTTAAATGTTATCTGAGTTGATGTTGAAGGGACTTGGTTTGAAATAAGACACCACTAAGTTCTATGTTATGATGCAGTCAGGAGTTTCTGAGAATAAAGGATGTTCTTAAGGTTCTTACGCAGTCCCCCAAAAAGTTGACCGTCTGTCCCCCCGTTTATAAATATACATCTTAAAAGATAAAAAGGTGAGTTTCCTTCAGAGTTGTGAGTCTTGTTTCTGTGAAATTATTTATTAAATCTTTTCAAAAAACAGGATATTTTGGTATTAAAAGTCAAGTCCAGTCAGTAAATAATCATCCAGAATGGTAGAGGTTCTGTATCTTCATCCTTACAGGTTTCTCTGTTTTGCTGCAAATGGAAAATCAGCTTTTAGCAGGTCTTTAAAATGTTGTGGCTTTCTCTTTGTTTTATGTTTTGGTGGCTTTTACTAGATATTACAAATTCTTAGCTGTTAAAGGTATTTCCTCTAATAGAATTTTAAAAATTGGTACCATGGCAAAGAAGGAAAACGTTAATTGTTATGAGAAATAAAGCCAGAAGAGGGAGCAGCAGAAAGCTTGGAAACCATGGACTGGTTAGAGAAAATTATGATTCATGTTACTTTGCAGACTGTGTTCTGTCATGAGAGCAAATTAGCAGCTTTTTAATAAAAATTAACTGCTGATAATGTTTTGAAGACCAAAACCCTTTTGGTGTGGCTTTTCCCAAAGGATTACATTCCATAATTTTATGTAGCTTCACTGAAAAATGATGCAGTGTTACTGTTCTTTATTAAGCAAAGTGGAATTTGTGGCTCCTAGGTGAAGTTTATAGATTTAGAAAGCTTTGTTTTCTTTTTAATTCTTAAAATAAAAACTTCTTAAGGAGACATCTGTTTGGGGTATCGTAATTTAAAAATACGTAATCGTTCTGCCCTTGGTTTTTGCCCTTGAGATAGTGAAAGTAAATATCCCTCCTTTAGTTTCCATTTCCAGTTCGTACTTGCTGACATGTTTTATTATATTGCATATATTAAGCTTTGAAGTTTTTATATTGAAGTTTTGAACATGATGCTTAGATTGACCCATCCTCTTTCTAGCTTATTCACACTGTTTGAAACAACAGACTTTTTATGTTAAAATGTCTCAAGTCAACAAAGCATGTATTGCACATATCTTGAGTGGATTGTTTATTACCATTTTTGTGTGTTCCTCCGCTGTGTGAATTGTCTGTACTTCTGTGTGTTTGGCACTGGCATTTAAATAATGTGTGTGTTGTGCTCTGGTGAAGTGTCAAGACAGGCATCCCAACACTTGATGCTGTGGCTTGTTTGATTCAAATACAGGCATGCATTGGGTCCTGCTGTACCAAATGTTCGTTTAATGGTTTATTTAATATGATCTTTCTAAATCTGGTGTATTACACTTACTGTTTTATATTTTTATATATATTGTGCATGTTTATTAGCCCACCCACATGATGGGTTGACCCCAGCTGGCAGGTGAGCCTCTATTCAGTCACTTGCTCTCTTCCCCTCCAGAGGCATGAGGAAAAGAATCAAAAGGGACAAAGCCAGTTTAGAGAAGAAAAAAAAAAATCATGGGTCAATATAAAAACAATTTATTAAGCTGTCCTGGCTCTGTCCCCTCCCAGTTCCTTGTGCATCCCCAGCCTACTCACTGGGGTGGCCGAGTGAGAAACAGAAAAGGCCTTGTTGGAATCTAGTACTCTCTGACCAGTCTCTTTCAGATACTCCGTGCATGGAGGGTGTAATGTTTAATATCAAATTTACTTGAAGATGGTTGATGTTACATGGGATTTCTGATTTAGCAGAGTAATACAAATCATACTAAAAACACAGTACAGAGGTAAGTTACACTTAGAAAAAATACAGCAGTTGCAATACACTGTTCAGTCACAATACCAATGTGACTCCCACAACCAGTCTCTATATAATATGCTCACCATCACAACGTTGGGTGTCCCCAGTTGCCAGGAAGGAATACATGGGTTGAAACCAGCCCAAGCCTGTCTCTCTCTTCGATATTCCTTTGCTAGGCATTTGGTTTGTGTATTCTGTGTTGGGCTAAGCAGCATATTCACTCCCCCCATGCTGGTCTGTCTGACCCAGGGGGAGACATCTACACCACCAGTTGATCCAACTTAGCTGTTGATAGGTCTTTGTCTAAAACCAAGACGACCCTCCACCTCCTTTTTGTTGAGCTAAAGTCAGCTGCTTTGCATTATTCTGAGCTGTGTGAGCACTTCACCCTTGCCCATCTCCTCTTAGCCTTCTTCCATTGTCATGTTCTACCTCTCGGGCTTTAGTCAGTCACCCCCTGACTCTGTGCAAGCACAGCTTCAGCAGTAACTAAAACGTGTGCTACCAACACTGTTTTGGTCACCAACCTAAAACATAGGACCACATGGGCTGCTATAAAGAAAATTAACTCCATCTCAGCCAAACCCAGAATGATGATGATTTTAAATAGTTTAGAAACTGGGATAATGTGAATGTATTTAGAATGTAGTATTTAGTCGTAATCACATGCTGATCAACATATTTGAGGAAAAGCATCCTGGTGTGAGACTACTCTTTTTTTGAAACTACAGACCTATGGAAAAAGAAAAGTAGTTAATTTTCTGTGTTTGAGAAATGTCAGGTGTAGTTCTGATGTAAAAGGTTTTGCTAAAGAAAATCCATCTTTTGCCCTTTCCATCTCCCCACCAAGCAACACCACTGCATGAGCATTTTAAGAGAGGACAACTTTCCATCCAGTCAGATTTGGTCATGGTAACTACACTTCTCGATGCTCTGTATTTTCTTTCATGGAAGTTATTGTATAGTTGAAAACATACTATCGTTGGACTTTAACTGAATAGCAGCACTCACTGGCCTGAAAGGCTGTTTTTTAAAAATAAATAGATAAGAAGAACGCCCCTAAATAAAGTTTCTTAAAAGGCCTTCAGAAACGGTCATACAAAAAAGTGAGCTCTGGGTTACAATCGTTTGAAAGCTGTGGATCAGAAGCCACTTGTATTTAATTTTTGTTATCAGTTACAGTAAAGGCTAGCTCTGTATCCTCAGCGAGGAGCAGCCTTGCAGTATAAAATGGGATGATTTGCAGTTTTGTCTCTCTTTTCCCAGACCCGGTGCAGTGGTCGACAGACCAGGTGCTCCACTGGGTGGTGTGGGTGATGAAGGAGTTCAGCATGACTGACATTGACCTCAATGCCCTCAGTATTTCCGGGCGGGAGCTCTGCAACCTCAGTCAAGAAGACTTCTTCCAGCGTGTCCTGAGAGGAGAAATCCTCTGGAGCCATTTGGAGCTTCTTCGAAAGTGTATGGGAGATTTTACTTTTGCTTATTCCCTGTCCCCACTTCTTTCTTTTCTTTTTTTTTTTAAGATGAAACCAATTGTGAACAGTTGGTTTTCCTCTATTTAATATTGGCAGTAAAAATGAGGGCATCAATACAAGATAACAGGAGGTATTAGTGAGAATGTCTGCCATTATGAAACATGTCTGCATACTGCCCGTCTTTCATCAAACTTGATAACTAATAGGGAGGCATTAATGACTGATGATTCCTCCTTTGTTTTAATAAAGATTTTTAGTTTGTGCATCTCCTGATTTTGACAGTTTTATAATTAAATATCGATTGTGTGTTATTTAATGTAACATCTCCCTCATATAGAAGTGAAGATTATTAAGCCCAGGCAATTAAATCGTTAGATTGTACACAACAAAACCGATAAGTGATGTGTTTTATGTGTGTAATACAATAATGTATATGTACATTTCAGATTTACCATGCTTAGATGTAATTGGGCAGACTAAAAACCTCTTTCCATCTTCATTTACATGATATAGCTAAAGGTGTTAGGGGATGGAGAATGCATGAGATACCTTGAAATTCACCATGTACATCTTTGTTTCTAAAAATTCAGTGACAGATTGACGCGCGGAAACAAATCTACAACTCAGAGAGTTATAAAGCAGGCATGTTTATTCCAGCCAAGGTGCAAGGGCATTTCTCCACAAAGCTTGCACACCGTCTCTGGCAAGTAGCCAAATATTTATTACACCAGAACATACATATTCATTAGGAAGGGCTGGGTTATTACAGTTAGTTCAGGGAATAGGTGTGATTATTAAAATTATTCAAGGGGAGAAGTACATGGTCTTCTTCACAGTGTCCGCTCTCTCCAGGGCATGTGCTGTTAAGCGAAGTCCAGGTGTCTACTTCCTAAATCAGCAAGATCATCCTCTCTAGACAGCATCTCTGAGTCCTTTTGTTCAAGTTTGTTTGCCCAAGTGCCCATTCCGGGCTTTGCTTCTGCTATCTGTGAGTTATCCTTTTACTTCATACCCCCGGGCTACCTGCCACTTTCTTATCATAGCCAAATCCCCAAGCTATCTGGTAAGCTACACTGAATCCACAAAACTAGTCTGGACAAGCAGAATTCTTAGACAACGTTCAGAAATCATCATATGTTGCTATAAGTAAATAATTTGCAAGAAAAGTGGTTATTTCTCTGTATCAGTTCCCCCCTTTTACCTATGCAAATTCTTTTGCTATATCATGCCATTCCGTTTAAGGATTTTGGCAAAGTATGCACCACTCTCCACCTTTTGGCATAGCTGATGTCTTTTCTGGTCTTCAGAATGGTTGCTGGTATACTTGCATATCCACATAAAACACTGTAACATGCAACGTATCAATATTCCTATAATAATTATTAAAACACAGGCTATAAAGAGCTGCTTTAACCATGCTAGGTCTGGTAGCCAAGATGTGAGTTTCTCCCATAGGTTTGTAAATCCTAATGATGTATTGTCCTGAGTTTTTTGGTGTAGTATTTTTTACTGCTGCCATATTTGGGTCATATCTGATTCCATTCTTTTACCTTGGTTGATGTATGAGCAGCAGCTTTGATTTATTATCAAACATACTCCTCCCTCTTTAGTTGTTATTAAATCTAAAACCATATGATTTTGTAAGACTACTAAGTGAGGAAATTTCTACTTGTAGCTCCTGGATGTCATCTACAGTGGAATTTACTATTTTTTCCATTGTAGCCAAAATATTTACTATGGCCTTTTCTAATTCACTGACTCCTAATTGAGGAAAGAGCCATCTTACAAAACTGTGATAAGCTAGCTGTTGGTCTTTTTATAAGAGGGTTTTTTAAATCCCTACGCATCTTCTGCCGAGGGGTCCATATAAGTCCAGGTGGGGGATGTGAGTGGTTATATATTTTGTCCTGGGGAATCACATATCCCAGGGTGCAATCCTCATCCCAATATTTAGGCAGAGATTTCCTTGCCCTTACATCCCCACACAACCACTGGTGACCATCAGGGATACAGTCATAAGAACAGCTGAACCACAGTCCTTTTAGTATAGCTGGTGGACAAGTGCTGTTAAGGGTGTCATGGAGGGTTTCTCTTATCTGACATTGGATTATATTTTTTAAAGGAAGTCTTCAGGGCAGTCTTATTATTTTGTCTGGTGATTATTTGCTTTTCTAATATTTGCAAATCAAATTTAAGTGGATAGCCATTTTTGTTCCCACAAGAGTGATTGGGGACTGATTCCTCAGGAAGCAGTGGGCTCTGTGAGCCCCAACATATGGTTTCCCCTGAGGGTAATTGGCTCTCCTGTTGGCCAGGGCCACAAATAGTGCCCATGTTCCAGATTATGTTATCCCCTGTGGGCAAAGTGGAGTTATTTAAGCTATCATGGGGCCAACTCCATTTGTTATAAGACACTGGAATTCTAAAGAGTGGAGTCTCTAAATTTCCTCTGGGGAGAGCACGTGCATACCCAGCAATCAGAGAGGTTAAAACTTTCTGCAATTGTTTGAGTCATTTTCAGATAAGAGTTTTGATCCCATTCATCTATGGTCCCTACCCATAGTCCAACCATGATGATAATCAGTGTCCATCCTTTTGTTGGATTCGGAGTCTTAGGGGTCCAGTCAATTTCGATTCCCATTGCTGTTTTGGGACTCCTTTGACTTGAGTGGATGTATCCATGATAATTGTTCTTTAATCTTGATTGCTGTATGGGATGTCAACACCACCTGAAATGGACCCTCCCACTTTGGTTCCAGAGGTGAATCTGAAAAAGATCTGATAGATATATCTATATATAGATATAGATAGATAGATAGATAGATAGATAGATAGATAGATAGATAGATAGATAGATAGATAGATAGAGAGAATCACCTGGTTTAATGTTGTGTACAGGGCTGTCCAGACTTCGAGCTCTGGTCCCTAGGACCAATTTCTCTATTTCCCACAGCTGTTTTTGTAGGCTTATTCAATAATCAGTTAATATTTCATTCTCAATCTAAGTTGATGTCCCTGCCTGTATCATATATGGTCTCCCATATACTATTTCAAAAGAACTTAATCCCTCCTCAGTTCTGGGTTTGGTTCTGAGTCTCAAAAGTACTAAAGACAATGACTGGGGCCAAGGCAATCCAACCTCCTGACCTAGTTTTACTATTTGTGATTTAATTAAATGATTCACCTTCCCTACTTGACCACTTGCTTGTGGGCTGTATGGAGTATGTAATTGCCAGTCAGTTCCTATGATCGATGCAAGTAATTGTTTTAACCATTTAAAGTTTGGTAACCATGAAGTAAGCTTGTTCCATATTTCTTCAAAGATTAAAGAAGCATCGTCCTTTCATATCTCCTGCAAAATACTTAATTATTGCAATGTTATTCCTAAATCTACATTTATTTTTCCGGTTTCATCTATATATGTACAACAACTACAATTCACAACTGTGCTCAATACCCCATGTGAGGCCAACATCATGTCTCACTGTTAGCACTTCAGATTGAGAAATTATTTCATTCAATAACACTTACTAGTTCTGCATGGGAATGCATTTGGCCAACCTGAGAAGGTATCTGTTAATACTAATAAGTACTGACACCCCTTTTTCTTAGGAGTTCAGAAAAATCTGTTTGCCAGTGTTGTCCTGGACTATTACCTTTCACTCTAACTCCATTTTGAATCTTACTTGATGTGTTTGGGTTGTGGTTTTTGTTTTGTTTGGGGATTTTTGTGTAAACAGCATAGTCTTTTTTTTTTTTTTTTAATTTAACTGCTTGTATAGAGCATGTGCTCCCCAGTGTTTTCTTATGTTCACCTAAATCTAACTTCTGTTGTATGTTAGAAGGCACTATTATTTGCCCATCTGGAATATAAAACCATCCATCTTTTTCTTTATTACCTTTTAGATCATTAATCAATTTTTGATCCTCCTTTGAATATTTAGTTTTCAAATCTGAGTTTAGGATTGCAAGTTTTACTGTCTGGGACCAAAGCTAATGCTATGGTTGTCATTTCTGCTGCCTGTCTGGCCTTTCAATCTGCCAAATTATTTCCAATTTCCTGTTCAGTGTTACTGTTTTGATGCCCTCAACAGTGCATGATGGGTACTTTTTTGGGGAGTTTTATGGATTCTAGCAGCCTTAAAATTTCCTCCACATGTTTTATTTGTTTTCTTTGTGCTGTGAGTTCTTTCAATACAGGAGCATGTACTACTCCAAAAGCATATTTCAAATCTGTCCATATATGAATCTTTTTCCCTTTTGCCGGTTCTAAAGCTCTGGTCAAGGCAGTTATTTCAGCCTTCTGAGCAGAAGTTGCTACTGGCAATGGTTTAGCTTCTATTACTTCAGAAGTGGTGGTCACAGTGTATCCTGCCTTGCGGTTTTCCCTGTTTTATGAAGCTGCTTCCATCCATGAACCAGATGCCTTCAGCATTCTCAAGTGGTTCTTCTTTTAAGTCAAGTCTACTGGAGAAAATGGCTTCCATGATCTCCAGACAGTCACAGGTTACAGGCTCTGATGTGGTCCCTCTGAGAAAAGAGGCTGGATTCACAGTGTTAGTGATCCACAGTCGGCACCAACCTGTCATCCCAAGGAAAGTTCGGAGTTCTTTTACCATTCTGGGCTCACGTGTGCGACAGGTGGCCTCTTTCCATTCTCAGCTCTGTTGTTCTCCCGGAATTCCGAATCCTAAGTAGGTCACTTGCTGCTGGACCAGTTGAGCTGTCTGTTGAGAGACTCGATATCCACTAAGTCCCAGAAAGTTAAGCAAACTGACAGTCCATTGTAAACAATCTTCCTTCATCCTTGTAGCTATGAAAAGGTCACCTACAGATTGTAGTAAAATTCCTCCTGGTGAGGGCAGGTTCCAGGTTTCAAATTCCCAGGCTAATTGATTCCCAGAGATAGTGGGGCTGTTTTTAAAACCTTGTGGTAACACTGTCCAGGTTAACCAGGGTTACTGGGGTGTGTGCGTGTGTGTGTGTGTGTGTTTCTCCCTGTATCAGGGTTTCCTCATTCAAAAGCAAATAGCTTCTGTCTTTCTTTTGCTAAGGCCAGGCAGGAAAAGGCATCTTTTAGATCCAATACAGTAAATCATATTTGAACTCCTTTTAATTTAGTTAACAAAGTATGAAGATTTGCCACTATAGGATATGTCTTATACAATTTTGTTTATTGCCCTTAAATCCTGAATTAATCTATAACACTTGCCATCAGATTTCTTTACAAGTAAGATACGGGTACTATACCCTGGTTTGCAATTGTGAGAAACGCCCAGTTACCAATTATCAATGGCTCAGACAGGATGCGGTGTGAAGCACTCTTTATTACATTCTTGCAAGACCATGCACCCCAACCAGGTGGACGCGCCTAACAGCCATCGTGCAATGGTTTATATCCCTTTCTCCCGACCGTGAGTTCCCTCCCCTGATTCCTCATTAGCTGAGTACTACAGGGTGTACAGACTTCCCAAACCGCCTACATGTATGTGTTCATACATTGCATGTTCATGGAAGTGAACCTTGGCTTTCTCCAGGGCGGAGAAGTTAATATGCATGAGCTCATCACGCAAGCATACTAAGACAGAAAAAGTTCGAAATTCAGGTTCCCTGAGTCTCTCGGTACCTGCATCTATCTAAAGCCAGTTCTAAGCACTGGTCATCACAGTTGACAAAAGAACTACCTGCCTTCTCACCCCAGGCCAGAAATTTCAATGGTTGTGAATTGCTCTCGTTAATTGCCTTGGTGAATTGCTCTTGCCATTCCCATCAGGCTGAATATGAGAAGACAACGTTCTTTCCCTTACACATTCAATTAACAGTCCGAATTTCAAAAATTTATCAATAATTGGTTTTATCCCTACCTGATCTTTTGCACACAAAGAATCCTCACCGGAGAAGCTCCTGGTTTTAATTTGATTCCTATTAATTTAGCATTCTTAGCCTTACCTGGTATTCCAGAAGCCCACACTCCTGGATATACCTGGTCCAAAATTTCTGTTGGTATTGTGCTCTCCTTTTCGGTCTGTAAAAAAACCACCAAACTTAAAAGTTTGATTAATTGATATTCTTTATTTTAGACTCAGTTTCTTTGGCACTAAAACCAATCTTTGTTCCTACTTGTTCTAACAGGTCTCTCCCTAATAATGGTTTAGGGAATCAAGGCAAATAAAGAAACTTACGTATACCTCTTTGTTTTCCTAATTTATACTTTATAGGCTGCATAAAGAAAGCCTTTTCATTCTGGCCAGTTGCTCTAACCAGTTATAAAATCTTTGTCCATAGGTGTTAAAAGTTGCTTCAAAACATAATAAGAGGCTAACTGTTTTCAAAACCAGTTGTTTCTCTGTTTCTGTCATAGCATCTAGCATTAAGTCTGTATCTTTCTAATCAGGGTCCTAGTTCAGATCTTTTTGTGTCCCCTTGTGGGTCATCCCGGTAGTTTGTCACTACCTCCTTCCAAGCATCTAACTCATTCATACGAAAGGAGACTTTAATTTGGGTTATTCCTCCCGGTCCCATCTGGGGTGCCAAAATTGAGGCACGGAAACAAACTACAACTCAGAGGGAGTTATAAAGCAGGCATGTTTATTCCGGCCAGAGTGCAAGGGGATTTCTCCACAAAGCTTGCACACCGTCTCTGTCAAGTAGCCAGATATTTATTGCACCAGAACATACATATTCATTAGGAAGGGCTGGGTTATTACAATTAGTTCAAGGAATAGGTGTGATTATTAAAGTTATTCAAGGGGAGAAGTACATGGTCTTCTTCACAGTGTCTGCTCTCTCCAGGGCATGTGCTGTTAAGCGAAGTCCAGGTGTCTACTTCCTAAATCAGCAAGATCATCCTCTCTAGACAGCATCTCTGAGTCCTTTTGTTCAAGTTTGTTTGCCTAAGTGCCCATTCAGGGCTTTGTTTATGTTATCTGTGAGTTATCCTTTTACTTCATACCCCCGGGGTTCCTGCCACTTTCTTATCATAGCCAATCCCCAAGCTATCTGGTAAGATACACTGAATCCACAAAATCAGTCTGGACAAGCAGGATTCTTAGACAACGTTCAGAAATCATCATATGTTGCTATAAGTAAATAATTTGCAAGAAAAGTGGTTATTTCTCTGTATCAGATATTAAGTGTCTCTATTCATAAGACCATGAGCTATGCATGTCTCTTGAAAACTGGTGCTAGATTTTCACTTTTTTCCTCTATGAAACATGAGAGGTTTTGATCTTCGGGTAACTTGAAATTTGTGGCTTAAATAAAAACTTGCTTTTTATTTCTTCCTAATTTGCAGATGTGTTGGCTAGCCAAGAACACTCTGGAGAAATAGCAACTGTTACTATTGATCAGCGTAAGTACTTCTGTCAGCAATTAATTCACACAATTAACTGTTTGTAGGCTTAGCACTGTACTTTGGTTCAGTGCTATAATAGTACAACATTTAGAAATTCACTTGAGAGATAGCAGTGTTCCTTGATGAGGGGAAGAGGGCATATTTTAAACTTAAAAGCAAAATGATCCATTTCTTGATATTTTGTTACTGGCTAAAAGGTGGTGTATGATTTCAACTTTGAAAGTTTCTAACTCTCGCTTTGGATGATAAATTTTCAACTGTCATGAAATAAGCTGCCTAGGATACATATTTGAGTTCTTGAGTTCTGTTTTTTTAGGTTATATATTGCATTAATGAATAGATACATTAAAATGTTATGATTTCAAAAGAGTGTTTCCAGAAGCTGAACGGGAGCATGGAAGGCAGGATTTGCTTAGAAACCAGCACTAGGAAAAATACATTGAAATAACTTTCCACTTATTTAAAACTCATTCTTCCAGCTGAAGCAGTGTCATCAATTATTAAAATAAATCAATTTTCAGAAGACTTGTAAGCAGCTTATATGTTAAATAGATAGACCATGCATTGCATCCTCTTATACCATTGCAATAGAAGGGTATTTAATTGCTGTTTGAATAGCAGCTGTGGTGGGTCGTACGGTGACTATAGAGAAAAGTGCATTAGGGCAGACCATATGGGAACAGCATAAAGATGATAACGAAGGCATGAGGGTTTTTTTTTAAATAGAAACATGTAATAGACATGATGATAGTAAACTAAAGCTGATGTTTCATGTGTAATGTGACATCTCTACTACAAGTCTAAAACCACAGTGTCTGCTGTAAGAAGTCTTTGCATTATTCTTAGCATTGTGATTTATACAGTGTGTCTTTTTAGCAAAGGAAAAAAAATAGCTCCTAGATGTTATGATAATACAGGTAATAAATAATATATGCCTATTTCTGTGCCAGCAATTTATAATTGATGTTCTGCAATGTTCTCTGCTTTACAGCTGTGCAGATTATTCCAGCATCTGTACAGCCTGCTACCCCAACCACCATTAAAGTAATAAACAGCAGCGCAAAGGCAGCTAAAGTACAGAGAGCTCCAAGGATCTCTGGGGAAGATAGAAGCTCCCCTGGGAACAGAACGGGTATTGTCTCCATTATTTTTAAATGCAAATGCAGTAAACAGTTACTCATTAATTTGAATTACAGTTTTGTAGAACATGTTTTTGTCACTCTAAACGTGAGGTTTTAGAAATCCATGTGGTATACAGGGGACCATAGCTACAAAATATTTCACAAGCCCAGGCAGACCTGGCAGGTTGGTTAGCTCACAGAGGTACTGTGTTAATGTGGTGCTGCAGCTTTTGAGTCCTGCGGTAAATAAAATTAATAAAATTGTTTCTCTTCCTGTGACTTAACAGTCTGCCCTCTCAAACCACTGCATAGTGTTTATTAATGCTTTTAACTTCTTTCTACTTTTCATTTCCAGAAAGGGGAGAAAATAAACTGTATGTTGTAGAATTCTAGCCTAGCTACTACTTTCTCTACTTGTCCTCTTCCTCTCCACTCCCCACCCTACCTCCCAGTTTCATGACTTTAGAATTTGGCAAGTTTCAGATTTCTTGTTTTGTTAAATGAATGCACCTTCTAGAAAACTGCACAGTAAATCTGCAGTTTATTTTTGCAACTACTGTTATTTGTACATACTCTTTGATTATTAATAATTCATCTTAATTTCTTTATCTTTTTGTTGTTGTTGCTGTCATTTTTTGCTTTGGTTCTCTCCTGTTGTGAATTTTTCTGTTAAATCTTTTCCTCTTCTTCCCCTTGAATTTTTGCTTGGTTAAACTCTCCATAAGAGTCTATTATAATGTCATTTGAGATTCTTAGGCCAAGATGTTACCAGCTGACATCAGTGGGGAATACTCTGTTTCTCTCTTTAGACATGAGGTCTGCTATCTGTATCTCATTGAAAATTTAGGAATTTAACTGCAGATACTCAAGTTAAAAAAGAAATTGTGAGAAACGCTCAGTTGCCAATTATCAATGGCTCAGACAGGATGCCGAGTGAAGCACTCTCTATTCTTGCAAGATCAGGCGCCCCAACCAGGTGGACGCGCCTAACAGCCATGTTTATATGCAGTGGTTTATATCCCTTTCTCCCGACCGCGAGTTCCCTCCCCTGATTCCTCATTGGCTGAGTACTACAGGGTGTACAGACTTTCTGAACCGCCTACCGATACGCCCCTTCATGTATGTGTTCATATGTCGCATGTTCATGGAAATGAACCTTGGCTTTCTCCAGGGCGGAGAAGTTAATATGCATGAGCTCATCTCGCAAGCGTACTAAGACAGGAAAGTTCGAAATTCAGGTTCCCCGTGTCTTTTGGTATCTGCATCCATCTAAAACCATTTCTAAGTACTGGGTCATCACAGTTGAAAAAAAGACACAGGTCTTCTAGCCCCAAGCCAGGGATTTCAGTGGTTGTGAATTGCTGTCGTTAATTGCTCTGGTGAATTGCTCTTGCCATTACCATCAGGGTTATTATGCGAAAACAACATTCTTTTCCTTACAAAATCTTAATAATTGGACATGAAAGATGTTAAATTGATGTAAGCTGAAGTTTGGGTTTTCTTTTATTTCTAATATTTCATGAAAATTGGAGACTAAGCTATTTTTTATTAAAACAGCTTCTGTTGCATATATTTGTGTGCGTGTTTATATGCCTGAAGAGGAATAAGCAGCTCTTGCTAAATCTGTTTTGTTTTACTGGATAGATGTGTGTCTAAATGACTGTGTGTAGTGTTATGTAATTTTTGTACCTTCTAGGGACAGATTTATGAGAAATGTTATTTTTTTCTGTATTCATCAGTTTATTTTTTTAATAGATTAATACTGATGTATTTGCAAGAAAATGTTTTAAAAATAATAATTAGAAGAAATTAAGAGCAAGTTTTCCTTCCATCATATATTATATGTTGGTCTGCTTTAACATGTTAGTTCGAAATTTTTAGCTGTGAGGGGAACGTAAAAAGCACTAATTGAAACGTATCTTGTTATTCCTATTTCAACAGGAAATA